TGTAGATTTTGATTTTAATTTAGGAAAGTTAAATTTGAGGTGCTTGTGAGACATTTAAATAGAGAAGGCAATTAGACATACAATTCTAGAGCTTAGTAAAGATGCTTAGATTGTAAATGTAAATGCTAAAACTGTTACAGTATTTGAGGCCGTGAGCTTGAATAATGTGATGGCCTGTAAGAGGGTGCAGAGTAAGATGAGAAGCTAGGTTTGAGTCTACAAAAGTCTTCACATTTCAAGGGGAAAATGAACCCTTTATGAAGCTAGATGAAAAATAAATAGCTGGCAGAGTGGGAAGATGGTTAAGGGAGAGTAAATAATGGGAAATAAGAAGGGTGTCATGATGAAGAGTTTCCAATGCTGCTTCTATAGCAATTAGGACAATAGCCATGTTTTAGGTACTTTTGATATTGCAATAAAAGTTTTGTGATATCTCAATTCTTGAATACAGTATGTAAGAAACCAATGCAACTAGCATATCCATCATTTCAAACATTTATTTGTGTTGAGAACATTCAAAATCTTCTATATCTTTTGAAATATAAAACTAGTTATTTTTAATTGTAGTCACCCCATTGTGCTATAAAAAACCCTAGGATTTATTGTTCCTAGCTGTAACTTTGTGTCTCTTAACTGGTATTTCCGTGTCTCCTCTGGTAACCATTACTCTACTCTCTGTGTCTATGAGAGCAACTTTTCAGTCTTCCGTGTAGGAGTGAGAACACTCTTTCTATGATTGGTTTATGCATTCTATATTCTTACACAATTTCAAGGCTTTTAAATATCCTAATAATCAGTTGGTAATATCTTTTGAGGTTCTGAAGTTTCCTGGTGAAATATTTTTATTTGTTTTTCTTTTGAATTTTAATTGATGTGTGCTTCACTTTGTGGGTCTAAATCTCAGATTGGCTGACTTTGACAATCAAGCCCGGAGGAAGTTTCCTCTGAAACACAATCCAGTTAACTCCCACGTTATACTACATTCTTTTATTCCCACCCCACCCAAAGAGATCATAGCATGTGTGCTTGCTAATGAATTATAGATAACAGGTTTAGTAATAGCTTACAATTCAGAATGAGTAATCTTTGAAGCATCTAAATTCTTGCTTATATTCTTTCTGTAGTTGTTTAGAGGGACTGTAAAGAGGGAAATATGCTTAGTGATTATACAGTCTTCATTTGGTATGCATGGGGGATTAGTTCTTAGAACCCCTACAGACACCAAACTCTGAATTCCTAAATCCCTTCTATAAAATGACATATGACTTGCAGCTAATCCTCCTGTAGACTTATTTTTTAGAATATTTATTTATGTATTTATTTTCATTTTATTTGAAAGGTAGAAAGAGGGAGAGAGAAAAAGAGAAAGATGGAGAGAAATAGAGAGAGAGAAGGAGAGAGAGAGAGAGAATGAATCTTCCAACTACTCATTCATACCATAAATGGTAAAAATAGCAAAGGGTAGGCCAGGCTGAAGCCAAGAGCCCGGAACTCAATCTGGTCTCTCTTATGGGTGGCAAGTACCCAAGTACTTGTGCCATCTACTTTCTGCCTCCCAGTGTGAGCATTAGCAGAAAGTTGGGATAGGAAGCAGAGTAGGGACTTGAACCCAGCCTTTCTGATATGGGATGGAAGTATCCTAATTAGTGACTTAACTGCTGTGCCAAAAGCATGCCCATTTTTGTATACTTGGAGTCATCTCTATATTACTTATACCTAATACAATCTCAAGGCTCTGTAAATGGTTGCTACACTAGATACTTCAGAGAATAATGAAAAAAAACCATTTGGGTGCAATATTTTCCTGAGAAATGTGTTTGATGCACACCTGGATGAATTTGCAGATGTAGAATCTGAGAATATAAAGGGCTGACAGTGTATTGAAATAGTCAGCAGGGGCTGGCACAGTGGCACAGTGGGTTAAGCTCTGCCTATGACATATCCCTTTGGAGCATTTGCTGGAGTACTGGCTACTCTGCTTCCCATCTGGCTCCCTGCTGATGTACCTGGGAGAGCAGTGGAAGATGGCCTGAGTACTTGAGCTCCTGTTGCCCATGTGGGAGACCCAGGTGGAGTTCCAGGCTACTGACTTTGGCCTGGCCCAAGCCCTGGCCATTGTGGCTAGTTATCGCAGTCCCCAAACTGAACAGCTCCTGAGAGAATCAGTGCTACTATGCTTTAGAGAAATCCCCACTATATCTCTTTTGTCTGTGCAGTTCACAGTGCATGGTGTAACTGTGGCTGCAAACTAATGTGACAAGCAGAAGCAATGCCTGGGCTATGTTCTTACTGTAAAAACAGCTGTCTCCTCCACAGCCATAGCAGGAGGCAAAAGTGTTTTTTTTTTTTTTCCTTTAAGATTTACTTATTTGAAAGGCAGAGTGACAGAGAGAGAGAGGGCAAGACAAGAGAGAGAGATCAGTCTTTCATCTGCTGTTTCACTTGCCAAATATTCACAACAGCTGGGGGTATGCCATGCTGAAGCCAGGAGCCAGGAGCCAGGATCTCTGTCTGGATTGCCCACATAGGTGGCAGGGATCCAAGTACCCGAGTCACCATCTGCTGCCTTCCCAGACACATTAGTAGGAAGATGGTTCAGAAGCATAGAGTAGCCAGGCCTGAAGCTGGCATTCTAGTACAGGATGTGGGTGTCCCAAGAGGCATCTTAACCAACTACACCAAAACGCCTGCTCCAGAGGTGAAAGTCTTAATATCTAACCTTCATGCAGCATGGATTTACGTACTCCAACAATTAATTGGTAGTTTATTGAATTAGGAATTGTAGGTTGAAACTGATTTTCTCTGAGTCTCAAAGACCACCTTCCATCTTTTTCTAGCATGTAGTATTACTACTTAATAGATTGATATATTTTGATTCCAGATTCTTCATACATGATCATTTTAATTAGATAGTTTTAGGGCCTTTGTCTCTGCTGCCTTCAGGCTTTCAGGATCCTGAGTGACTTATTCCCTTGAATTGGTGGAGAATGTTGTTTGGCAAGTGAGTTTTCTGACACAGTGCATGTCTGTTAATGTCTTTATCTTAGTTCTTGTTTTGTCTGGGTATTGAACTCTAGGTAAAATTTGCTTTTCTTGCAGAAGTTTAAAGGACTTGATTCACTGTCAGCATTGCCATGAGAAGCCCATTGTCATGCAAAGCCTTAGTCCTTCATTTGATTCATATTCTGTCCTAGAAAATGTTTTCATTCTTCTTTTTATACTGAGGTTTCTGGAGTTTCATTATTATATGCCATCATGTGAATATTTCAACAATATTTAACATATTGGCCATGTGGTGGGCCTTCCAATCTGGAAATTCATGACATGTACTTTTGGGAAATATTTTGTGTTACTAATATATTAATTAATTATCTCTCTGGGAATCAGATCTTTGGCTATTGAACATTCTGGTGTGATTCTACAAATTCATGATTTTTTAGTTTGTTTTTAAAATCTCTTTATGTTTTGTTTTACTTTGTAAAATATTTTATCTCCTAGCTGCCTTATATTGAGTGTTTTGTGTTCTCGTATTATTAATTTCCAAGAATTTCTCTTGTTCTTGGAATGTTCCTTTTTAAAAATAGTATCATGTTCTGTTTCAAGAGCTCAATATCTTTTCTTATCTTTATGAGCACATCAATGATAATTTTTCTTCTCCTTGAATGATTTATTTTTTCAAAGCCTTTTTTCTTTGTTTGTTTTGGTTTCTGTCCTTGATTTTCTGCATCTTCCTCAAGTGATCCATATCAATATTTAATATTTGAGAGTGAAATTCTGAAGGGTGACTTCCTTGCAAGGCTGGTCAGCCAGCAGGTTTCCTGAACTAAGCCATTTCTCTACGCTGGTTAGTTTACCCAGAAAAGCGTCTGTAGCCTTCTTGGAGGTTATGGCCTGCTGTCTTCTTTCTAGAGTCAATCCCAGGACAGAGTTGTGAGTCTCACTGTTCACTATGTGAACTTTCCCATAATGCCCTCAGCTGGGCCTGGTGTCCCTGTAAGCCACATTTCCCAGGCTGTCTGGCAAACATCCAATCTCCTGTATGGGGGAGGGAGAATTATATCTTCCTATTTTCTCCATTTTTGTAGATACTGGTTTTAAAAGCAATGTTTCAATCTTGTTTTTAAGAGAAATCTGAAAGGAATCAAAAGTTTTTCTTTGTTTCCATCTCCTATATGTAACTTATGGTCAGTTGTACCTGTCTCAGAAATAGCTCAAGGTCATGGTTAGAAGTCTCAAACCTCCATAGCAGGGCAGGCACAGTGAGTGAATGTGACCAGAGGCACTAATAGCTGAAGCTCTCCATCTGTGCAGAGTGTACCCTCCGATGTGGTGGTTTCTCACCCTTATGTTCACCTCCAAGGGCCCTTACGAGGGTTGCCAAAGGAGCACCACATTAGGGTTCCACTTGGATTCCAGAACAAACAAAATCTGAGGTCGATTAGCCACGCCCAACTTTGCTCTTTAATCCCTGTCTCACCCATCATCTATGGTGCAACCTCTTCCCTCCTTTCTTCCCATTTCCTATTCTTCTCACCACTAGACTTTCTTACATCATTCTTACTTCTGCCTCTTACTCACTGTCCCTGTTACAAATAGCACTGTATTGTGAATAATGTTTTATTTATCTTTAGACTCTTTACAGAATTGTGTCTGACACTTATCTTAAATGTAACTTGCCTTTTTTTTTTAACTCAAGAAGTCCTTTTGCAGTATTTACATAATTATTTTAAAAGCATTTTTTGAAATTTGGAATTCTTTTAGTTATTTTTGCATGGTCTGTGATAAAGAAATGCTTTCAAGTAAAATATTTTGTTTTTGTCAGCATACTATTCAAGTTCATATTATAAATTTCATTAAAGTACAACCTTTATAATTGATTCTCAAATTAAGTAAGTTCTAAATGTGTACACCCAGGAAAGAGTATTTATTAATAATACATTCACATATTTAAACATTTTACCATATTGCTTTTCAAAATTTTTCATTAAAAATAAGGCATACTCTTTAATTTAAAGTAATGTAAACCATAATGATAAGTAAAATCTATTAACAAGCAATTAGAGAAATGGCAAACTAAAACTCACATATTTTAGAAACTAAGTTGAAATTTTGGTCAGTGTTATCCTACCCAAGAAGACTTGCTGGCCTGTTATTTGTGATTACTTTGTTTTCTGTTGCAACTGAAACCTAGCCCTTCTCCTAATGACAGTCTCCTCATAGATCTCGACAGACAGTTGTCCCCTCATCTCACAGCGCTTGAGTATGCCATAAACAACCGTCCCCTTCTCTTTGCCAGCCTCACCGCTGTTACTGAGTCCATCATCACCCGGATCACATTTCCGTCTTTAACAGGATTTGTGCTGTGAAGCAAGAATTGTTTTCCAGACTATGGAGGAGCATGTGGCATCCCATACATTGTTCGATTTTAGCCTGGACCAGCTCTGCCTCATTTCTGAAGTTATAAAGCCCCCAAAGCATTCTTTAGTCACAATTCTTTGCAGTCAGTACTCCCTCTTGCCCCCAGCAGTTCCCAGGTTTGGCACTCACTCTAATCTCCAGTCTCTCATTTCCTGCCTTTGCCCTGTGTATAAATCTCATTTGTTCCCCATGTAGCCTAGACTTCCACTGTATTATTAACTACCACTTTCTTTATTACTCACTATGTTTTATTAATAATCACAAAAATAACATTTATTAAGTATGTATCGGGTAGGATTAACTTAAGAATAGTTGATCAAGGGACAGAGTTTGAGCTGATCTGTGTGAGGAATGCTGAGAAATAATTGCTTCAACCTCATTTGAAATTTTTATTGTCACTTTTTTTCTAGACATCAGAATAAATATTTTTAAAAATGTGTCATTGAGAAAAGATCCTGAATTCTACATTCTTTCTTCCATCATTGTAAGCGGCCATTTACTATGTAGTTGCATATGGTAAGTGCCAGATAAAGGATTGATTGAATTTATTTTAGCTTCCTTTCACACCCTTCCATTTGCTTGTATTTCTGTTGCCTGGGAACTATCAAAGTTTTCATTCTGTGAAAAACAAAGGTGAGAGAAAAAGTGAAAACAAAAATACTCAGGATTTCCCCTCTATTGTCACAAAGCAAAAAACAGAACAAAACATACTGTGATATTATATATTAGGAGAAAGATTAATTCAAAAAGTGAGAAAATAGTTTCCCCTAATGTGCTTGACTTTGGCTAAGCCATGGTACATCATGACCAAACTGGATGTGGCCAGGGCTGGCCTAAGGGAAGCTCGCCTTCCAGTGTTGGCTGGCTTTCACTACATAAACATTCTTTTAGAAAGAACAATGTGCCATGACATTTGGTGAGCAGCCCTCCACTGGTCTTTCACTGGGTTTTTCTCTTGATCTTCTCTATTTATCCAGCACATATCTTGGCTAGAATATTCCTGAAATGGATATAGCTTGTCTTTTCTTTGAGTGTGACATGATAGAAGGTAGCTGTTAGCTTCCCTGGAGTTGCTGAAGGAGTTCTGGTTTGCTCAGAATCTCTGATTGGTGTCTTCTTTGAGTCTATCTGAAGGTTGGCATGACTGTCTTATGTTTGAGGTAGAATAAATCACAACCAATTATTTTTTTCATTAGTGTGTCCTGAAACATTGAGATTTTGCCATATTGGCATAAAGTTGAGCACAAGGATATACTGATGATTATGGCTGGGGGAGAAGGTGACATGCACATCTCAGTTTTATTTTGAAGTCAGGTAGATTCTTGAGAAAATGACATTGTCTTCTGAAAAAATTGAATCATCGTGCTTCTCTATTTTTTACTTTCCAAATTTCAAACCTTTCTTTATAATTTCACTTTAAAATCAGACATGAAAAGGACAGGTACATGTCTGGTCTCCATTCTTTGCTGCATGGGCATCTGTCCCAGTCTAGAAGCCAGGTGAGCTTCATAGCTAAGTGAATTTCAAATGGGAAGGCAACTTCTATACCACCAGGGGAACAGTGGAATTGAAACCAGATTAAATTCACCCTGATTGGAAATGGAAAAATTCAAGGATGCTCTCTCCATAAACTCATTCATTTCTACATGATTTATAACTTGATTTTATACCTGCATTTGAATTAAAATGCTGGTTTCAAATAAGGCTTTTATTCCTTCTTGTTTCTTTATAGTTATTTTCCTTCCATGCATTCTCTCCTCAAATACATACTACACGAATTCTAAGTGCCAGGTATTGTTTAGATTTGCAGATTCAACAGGAAATAACAGGTACAGCACTTGAATCCATAGAGTTGGAGTGGGGAAGACCTTTCTGCAATAGAGTCCTGGTAGCAACAATGAGTGTGAAATAAGGCAAAGCAGTATGAGGGGGGAAGAAACAGGTTGCAGTTTAGCTAGGAGATCAGAGATAGCTTTTCAGAGGAGGAATCTTTCTGTGGAGAGTTGAATGCTGCAAGGAAGTAAGACAAGAAACTATGTAGGAAAGAATATTGCACAAATTAAATTGTAAAAGTCGTGTGTGTGTGTGTGTGTGTGTGCATGCGTACACACATGCACATGTCTACTAAAGTAAGTGATAAACAAGTGCATATCTAGATTTATTTTCGTCTCTCTAAAAAGTATATTTTGCTGAATTTATGCTTGTTTGAATGTCTTGTGAGCTAGATGGCCATGGCACATAGACTTTATTGGATTACATTTCAGATGTTCAGGAATAATATGAAGCAGTAAGCAGGGACTAAATAACTTCAACAATCAAGAAACAGGAGAACATTACTTACTGGGCAAGTGCTGGTGTTGTTTAGATCACTATGGCCCTCTTGGAAATAGACTGTGTTTTATACAGTAGTGTGAAGCTAGTAAGGTAGGCCTAGGAGCTCTTCAATGGGCCCTATATTTGCACAGTTGGCAGTCTGTATTGTTTCTAAGAGAAACAATCAGTAGTAGAAGCAGGGAGTTGTAGCCATTTTTGGAGGAATCTAGACCAGTTTGACTGGAAAAGAGCCTTTGAAGAAAGGAAGAGTGAGAGAAAGTATTAGGAATGTAGGTTAAACTAGAGGCCCTTAAACACAGTGATTCAAGCAAGGCTTTATAGATGAGTCAGCCTTAGTTACCTCACCTCTAAAATGGGGATAATAATACATATCTCATAAGGTGAGAATGAGATGACATTATGCATATAAAATGTTTAGCATTACATTGCACTCATATTAAGTACTTAATAAATAACGGCTTCTACAATAATGAAAGCAGTGTTTAAGGATGATTAATTTGGCAATAGTGTGTAGGATTATTTGGTGGAGGGAAATAGTGGAGTTGGGAGTCCAGTTACAAGGCCATTTTAACAGTCCAGGCATAAGGATGGTGATGATGAGGCTGGGAAAGAACAGACCCAAAAGAAATTATATGAGGGAAGAACTGGGAGAATGTGAAGGGTACTTGGAATATGTCATAAAGGAGATGGTGAAATGAAGGACAGTTTGGGTTTGGACTGGAGTGATGGAAACTGATGGATATGTCAAAGTAAGGAAGCGGTATTAGCTAAGATTATTAAATGCCTAATAATTAATAATTAATTCCTTCCCCTCTGCCTTCCTTCCTTTTATCAGCTAAAAAGTGGGCTGAGGCCTGTGCCAGGCCCTGTGTCCTGATACTAGATGTGTAAAGTTAAATAAATGAGACCTATGTTCTCAAAAAGTTTACTCCAGAATAAGTTAGAAAAAAGGCTGAATACAAATGTGAGAGATAGGTACAGTGAAAGAAATCAGGGATTGGGAGAGAATCAAAGAATGAACCAACAAGGTAAGGATTTGTTTTTCTTGTTACAGATCAGAAAATGTTAGGTAAGGAGATATAGGCACATTGATTTATTTATTTTAACCTATGTATAATATGAGTGTATTTTGCCTCAAGTCTGCTCTTAAGAGGAGAAGGATCAGGATCTGATGGTAGAAAATTGATTTTGCTTTTAAAAAATATTGCATTGACTATTTGAAATAATTCATCTCATAATCATGATGTATTATAGAAATTGTAGTTTTCTTTCTAGATTAAATGGTCACAGCTCATTTATTATTCTCTGATGATTAGCAATCAGAATGTTCTCAACATTGTTCTAGATGTGTAGTAGTAAAGCCTTCTAGAATTGGTTAAGAATGCTAATTCTCAGGCCATATCCTCAGACATTCTGAACAGGAACCAGCAATCTGTGTTTCCACAAACAGTTTAAGTTATTCTGAAGCTGGCTGAAGTTTAATTAATTAATTAATTTGAAAAGCAAAGGAAGAAGGGGGGGAGAGAAAGAGAGAGAGTGAGAGAGAGAGATCTTTTATCCATTAATGGTTGCAACAGTCATGGCTGGGCCAGGCTGAAACCAGGAGCCTGAATCTCTATCCAGGTCTCCCATGCGGGTGACAGAGGCCAAAGCTCTCAGGCTATCCCCATTGCCTTTCTAAGTGCATTATCAGGAAGTTGGATTAGAAGTGGAACAGCCAGGACTCAAACTGACACTCTGTATAGGACTCCAGCATAATCAAGCAGTAGCTTAATCAGCAATGCCTCAACACTGGCCTCCTCAGGCTGAAGTTTAAAAGCAACTTGTTTAAGTTCCCAGAAAAAATATTACTTTTCACAGATAATCATAAATATCTGTTGAAGCAAATTAGTAACATTGGAGGCTTATCTCCAACCTACCACATAACAGAAACAGATTTTCAGTGTAAAATTTTTTTTAAAGTTCTTGAAAAAAGCCCAAGAAGCACAGATTTCTTGTCCTTTTCCTTCCTTCCTCCCATCTTGCCTTCTTTCCTTCCTTCTTTCCAAAGGCAGAGTTATAGAGAAAGATGGGGGAGAGAGAGAGAGATCTTTCATCTGCTGGTTCATCCTCCACTCTCCAAATGGTCTCAATGGCCAGGGATGGCCAGGCTGACGCCAGGAGCCAGGAACATCCAGTTCCTACACGAGTGGCAGGAATCCAGGTACTTGGGTCATCTTTTGCTGCTTTCCCAGGAATATTAGCAGTGAGTTGGATTGGAAGTGGAGCAGCCAGGACTTGAACTGGTGCCCAGCTAGGATGCTGGCATTGCAAGCAGCAGCTTTACCCACTACAATACAACACAGGCCTTTGTACTTTTCTTATCTGGCCTTATTGTCCTTTTTCATTTAACTTTAGCACTTGTCATATTAAACGTGCTATTGTGTGTTAGGTCCAAGTTAGAGCCTGTGGACAGCTGCATCCTGTGATTGTCCACAATGAAAACAAACCATGGATAACCATGGCCATCTTTTAGTGACTTCTTCGAGTTTTGTATGGAACCAGAAAAAGGGCACCCTTGTTGGTTTACCCTCATTGTCTGGCCACATTATTCTACTGGATCCTATCGATCAATGCTGTGTTGGAAGGTCCCCTCCTCAGCCTCCACCCTGTCTCTGCTCTCGGTCCTTTCTAAACTTCTTTTCCTGTCCCTGACAGCTCAATGCAATCTCTGTTTCTCACTCTCTGTCTGGGTGACTTAAACTCCTTTGACCTCTCCAGCTAGTATTTCTAGAGGAATTTCTCCCAAACTTAGCTTGCGAGTATAGGCCTTCGTCATAGCATCCAATCTCCACAAACTGTGCTCAGTAATCTCCATATGGACGTCCTACTGGTAGCTTAAGCCTAAGCTGCCCAAACTAAAATGCTCAAGGTCATCCTATTTCTCCCCACCTTTCCCGTTTTTATTCTGGGTACCATTATCTTCCTAGTCACATAGGAAATACTAGAATAATTTTTAGCATACAAGGTCAAGGTGATGGCAAGATTAAGGAAGTACAGATGACTGAGGATTCTTCCCTGGTGGTCCCCTCTCGGTTATGGCCCTGTGTGTGCTCACCCTGCCTTTGCAGTTTAGCTCTTCACTACCTCTTAACAAGAGCCAGTGCGAGAGCCACTTAACTATATTTTCCTATCTGTGAGAG